CGGTAATATAGGGTGAACAATATAACTCATTACAGAACTTCACACACTAAAACTGCTGCTTCTTTGAACAACAAAGACAACAGACAATAACATTTACCTTTGAGTAATAACATGAACACGTGCTGTAGCCGATGCTTTATTGTTGTTTGTAATAAAGATGTTGGAAAAGATATCAAAGTAGAACGAAGGCAAACAGAAGAAGATCAAAAAGCACTAGAAAAGACATCAATAGTAAAGACAAAGCATGAGTATAAAGTCAAAAGTATACAACCTCTTTAATGTGTTTTCTGTAAAAGCTTTGAAGCAGGGGTTTCAAAGATGACAGACTCGTCTTCCCAACGTTCCTCTGGCAGACTGCTTCAAAGCACAGAGAGCTGCAGAACCTAGGCCACTCTTTGTTCAACTTTCAGGAATCCTTGGAAAGGCAAACAAAAGATATTGAGTTGCAGCAATTAAAGTACATTCTTTTCTAAATGATCATTAAGATGGGGTATAGTAATGAGAAACAGCAAGGGGCCTAGGAGTAAGCCTTGGAATCACATGTAAACCCATTTAAACACAGAAGAAGAAACCAGACATTGGAAATAAGTGGAAAAAGGATATTGATATATACTGTGTGTTGTCATCACATGAAGTCGTTATGTTGCATGTGCTAGCAAACGTTTGCTTTAATTACACATCCAACAGAAACTATACATTTGGATTGAGATGTTACAGGTTCTGATATTAATCAAAGCATTTCATTCATTTTAATATGCTCTATAAGTGGCTTATTATAATGAGATTTCCATGCTGTTAAATCCAAGGTGTTTTACTGCCATTACACAGTATGCAAAAATGGTATGAACAGCACAAAACAGGAGAAGAAAATACAGTGTTTCATTGATGTTGAGTGTTAAACAGATTCTTAACACTCAATGTCTTTATCTTACAATTGCCTTATTACATACTGTGGATAATATAAACACGAGAGCAGTGGTGAAATATGATTATATTAGTCCTAAAGTCATGCCTCCATGGATAAAGCCTGCCAGTTTAAATCAGTAGTGGTATGATATGCTAGATCCAATGGAAATATGTCTTGTCTTGTCTCTGTCCTGCTTGGTGAAAATGATAGTGTCATAGACCATACTAATATAGGATGGTTTGAGTTCTCTGCACTCTTTCCACTTGCTGCAAATGAAGACTATTGCCTACAGCAGAGTGACCAGAATCACCTTTTATGGACTTTATCGTCCTGCCTGGATTTGAGCTGTCTGTGTGGTTTGGATTCCTTCTAGATTTCACCCTCACTTCAAAGAAAATGACTATACTCAGCGTAGCAAGTGTTTGCTTTCAAAATAACGACCTTATTTTTTGCCATACCTTTATTTTGAAGATAATGCCCGTAACCCGTACTTCAAAACTCCCTCATAGCGGTTTATCAGGTTTTGTTTACACCAGATAGAAGTCACCTCTGTCACAGAAACAACAGGAAAGTAAAGTAGCTAGTATTGTGTATGAGCTTTTGTTGAAAGACACAAATGTATTATATAACTCTCTACTCTAAAATAGTACATTCTTGCAGGAACTCGCATCTGATTATAAGTTAACAATAACAAGGGATCCCATAATGCTCCTCCCTCTTCTGAATTCACCAACATACTGTTTTTAGTGAGGTGCCTGAGGCAGAGGACGTAACACCCTACCACTAGTGTTTGTCAGTCTCTTAATGTCGCTTTGGCAGTGGCCTGTTTTCTGTTTACTGTGTCTCTGTGGTAGCCGAGCAAAGAACAGATGAAGACCCTCTCCAGGCGTGATTTATGATCTAAAGTTAGGTCTGTGCAGTGTCTTGCAGAAGTTCATGAGCCAAGAAATGAGCTATTAGCAGCCATACACAGGTTATGAGTCCTTTTTGTTTTGCTTACTGTCATTCAAATATATTTTTTACATTCAAAGGTTAAAGATGCTGTATCTGATTTGTTATTTTAAGTAACAAGTCAGCTTGCTCTTATGCAATTGTACACATTTCTTAGGCCTTTCTTTTTCTATTTCTACTTTTAATTTCTGAAGAGCAACAATGACCTCACTCACTCGTAAAGAAAACACATTTCCTCCTAGTGCTATATTGAGACCTACTTAAAGAACAAACAAAAGACTGATACACAAGCTGTCCCATTGTCTGGGTCCCTTGGTTTCCTGTGGGTCAATCATTTACACAAATTGGCTTAAGGAGTCAAACGCAGGTGTTTGTTTGCCTGTTTTGCTTGTGTGCTTTGGGATTGTGAAGATTTGATATTGAGCTGAAGAGCAACTAGCAGTAGATGCCTTAGGCTGCAGCCACACGGAGACAATACGGGTCGTATCCGCTACAGTTCTCTATCATATAGACGGTTCGGCCACACGAGGCCGACAGGGTAAACGATAACGGGGTCCCAAGGTGGGTAGATCTGCGGACGCAACGCTCTGGGGGGCCAAACGTCTCCGTGATTACGCCCTATACGATCATTTCCTGATAACGAAAATACTGACGGGCTGTCAGGAGAGGGGGAGGAAAAGAGAGGCTCCGTGTATTATTCTTATATTATTATATAGAGTCGTTATTCATTTGTTTTAAAGCTCAATAAATAACAAAGAAGACCTTTGACCGGCACTTTTATAATGAAAGATTATAAATATTTAAACTTTAACGGACATGTTGACCGGAGAAAAACGGAAACTCTGCCGCACGGTTTCCTCGTCCCTTGGAAGAGGCAGAGAGGTGGGTGTTTTTCATCTGCTGGTGGACTACCGGAGAGATTTACAGCAGGAGCACACGCTTGCCTCGGGGAGGGAGGAAAAGAGCCAGAGCCCTGCCTCTCCCCACCTCTGCTGCTAAATCCATCGCGGAGAATAAACAGAAGGGCAACCATGGCAACCATGCATGCTCGGGAAGTCTTCTTCGCTGCTTTTGGTGTATTTTGTGGCGGAAGTACAGCGCCACTTACAGCGTCTCCAACGGGTCGAGCGGTCTCGTGTGGACGGACACGTTTCTGGTGCCGTTTGCGTGTGGACGGAAGACCTTTTTGATGTCGAATTCGGTTCGTTTTCGTTACGGTCTCCGTGTGGCTAGGGCCTTACTGTTTGAAATGAAGTGTTGAGGCAGAAGCTTTGCCCTTTGTGCCAGGCTCAGGCAGACCTTTTCCAACAACACCACCTCTCACATGTTTGGGCTTTGCACCCTGCTATAGCTTTAATCCATAGCATGTGTACACACACTGCTCAGAGAACCTGGAGTGTGTAGTCAGCAGGGTAGACATGGATAGAAATAAACAGGGCGAATAAAACAAATGTTGTAATTACATTTGATTGTAATCTTTATTTAAAAAAAAAAAAGCCCACATTTGCAAAGGTCGCGAGTAATTGTTAAGTTATTGAAAATACAGGGCTTTTTCTATAAAATATCATAAAATATTGGATGGCCTCTGCAGCATTAAGCTAAGCCTGATTTCTAAGTTACAGAGGCTCATGTATGGCCTTGTGGACCAATATGCATAGCTGTACATTCCCACTTTAAATCCACTCCGGGACCTTTGTTTGTGAACAGAAAATCTATATAGTTTACCAATGGGTTCATCATTTTGAAAGGATCTTTCCAACAATGAGGGAACAAACTAATGTATTTTCCTCTGTTGCAAAACTGTTCTGGTTTTATATGAAGCAGTTTGATCAAATCCCTCTAGCTCCTGAAAGTAATGACAGCTATTTCTCATTGATGTAACCCTTTTTCTTATACTGGAAAGACCATGTAGATTATTTTGTAAAATGACTCTGTATAAAATATGATCTCATTAGTTGCAGCACTACATTCCAGCCAGCTGTGGAGTGATTCTGTAGCAGATACAGATGTGTGCAGAGCTCTTTTCAGTTGTATAGCTCAGTTTAATTGTTCCCAATAGAGCCCCAGCTATCTGCCAAATCCAATGACACTGCTCCTCAGTATACTGCACAGCTCCAGTCTTAAAATACCCCTGCCACATTCTGTCATGCTTCCCTAGGGGATGGCCGTGGGTCAGAGATCCCACCTCAGGGAATCTCTTCACTGTTTGGAAATAGACTTGTTTTGCTGTGTATGCAAGGGCTGTAGAGGACGCTGGACTTAAATATCATTTATCTTTTCAAAATCTGAAATTGTTTTAATGCAGATCCAGGGGATAATTCAGGGTTAGCTTACATGAGTGAGCGCACTCCTCAGAGAGAAGATGATGGTCTTTCCAGAAGGGTTAGGCCTATTTTGTTATGAAATCCTCTCATCTGTACATCTGGCATGAGGAGCTAATCAGCAAAGAGGTTACTTTTGTTTCTTTCATTTTATAAAAGCTGTGCTACACATTTAAATATCAGGTTTACTTATGCTAAGATGGCAATTAGATGTTTGTTTGTCATCTGTGCTGTAGAAACAAATCTAAATCAATATCTGAAAATAGTTTGTGGTATTAACCAAGTAAGAATATACTTTAGTGGTTTTAGTAAAAGACCATACTTACCCGTGTTGCTAATGCAATGCTTGTTTAAGGAAGGACTAAGCCTAAGACTGATATAACAGTACATGACATTAGTGTTATATCAGCGGAACAAGACAAACATACTATATCTAGACATACATTGAAATGAATTGTTTATATTTAGCAACCCAAAGGTATACTATCAACTTTTTTCTGAGGCTATCAAGCATCATACTATTTATCTTCTCATTATTTGTGTTAGCTATGACTGGCAAACAGATGATTCAATATACTTTGCTCTCTTTTGGCATGTGCTAACTTGTGGTACCTGCCCTCCGAGTTTGACATCCTGTTAATCCGACTGCTGACAAACAGGATGTTTGCAAAGTGGTTAACTCCGTGTGAAGCATCAGACCTCCTTTTCTCGATTGCTTATGTTTTTTTTGTTTTTTGTTAAGAACATTTAGAAAAAATATATTTAGCATTCTGCATCCTTTTAAATGCAATGATTGTAATGTTTTTTCTATTTTCTTGCAGAGCTTGGGATGGCACAGCGAAAGTTCGCGCAGAACCTGGGAGAGTTTCAGTTTGAATATATTGGCGATGCAAAGACGGATGATGAGAAGTGTATTGGTAAGTGTGGTTTCACCGCCTCACTAGGCTTTGTCACCACTGTGCAGACTTGCCCTGTAAATGTTTATTTACAGTTCTTTCTCTAGCAGCAAATTAAGAGCAGTTTTTGATGTGCACCTGTGTTGGGAACAGCTGTTAATCATAATGTATTTTAAGCTACTTCTGTGTGTATGTTTGTGCGTGTGTGTGTGAGAGAGAGAGAGAGAGAGAGAGAATGAGTCAGGCAAAAATAACTGTATTTATTACTATGATTTTTTTTTCTTCAGATGAATCTTTGCAAGAGTTCTCCTCATTCCTCAAGAACCTCGAAGACCAAAGAGAGCTGATGGTGAGAGCAACCAGTTTGAACCTGCTTGAAAGCCAGTGGAAATACCTGTGTGTGTGTGTGTGTGTGTGTCTGTGGTGTATTGCACATGGATAGTTTAACCTTGTCTGCTTGCAGTGTGTGCATTGCCAACCAGCCTACACCTATTACTGCCCATATTTGGTACTTGCATCTATTAATGTCTGCCTCTGTCATCTGCCAGAGATCCAGACAGATACTCATAATATAATTTCCTCCAATGTACAATACAGCCCAATCATCAAGCAGGCAGCACATATCCGTTCCCTTGAGTGTGTCTAAGTATTATGGATAGTGTTCAAGCAGTTCCTCCCTTTGTGCCTGTCTAAGGGTCACTGTCACACAGCCTGGGAGTGGCTGCAGAAGGCAAAGAATCCACTTTATTACAACCACGCTTTAAATACCAAGATAGTTTCACAGAAGCTAGTACTGTCAACATGTCCGCTACAATATAGCCCATTAAGACACACCACCATAAAAACAGCTCCTGCATCGAGAGCGTCGTCAAAGTTGCTAATTTGTAAACCACTGAAATCACATAACCAATATAGAGGAAGTTACAGAATTATTAAAGGAAGCCTGGTTTTAATGGTGACAAATCCAACCCTGAAGTGTTGTGTAAGTGTCGCTATGACAATTCTGTGATAAAAGACATGATGCACCCTCTTGTCTTGTGATTTATTTGTGATCTGTAGATGTTATGTAATAAACTTGTAAAAGCTCCTCATTTGAAGATTCCGTAGTAGTTTGATGGCAAGAGATAGTGTTGAATACTTTCTTAAGAAATACATTTGAAACATTCCTCTTCTTCTGACGGAGATAAACAATGTAGTGTTTGCTACTTTCCATGAACAGCCCTTGTGTTGTAATGTCTGTCTGTAGAGTCTGAGGTTAGGGCCCATCATCAGAAGCCGACTGAGATGACTGTTGTAGCGCCTGGCTCAGATCATAATGGTAAACACCCTGCTCAGCATAGTGGGATGACATCACAGTGCAAAGTTAGGAAAGGTAGGATGGCTGTGCAGGCACGGACATGTCTTACAGCCAGCATAGCAGAAGCACTGGAGGAATGAGGAAGAATCCATTCATTTCATTACTGGAAGAAAACAATCTATTATAAACAATAGTTATTAGGGGTGTCACAATTCCCTAGTACACTATTGGATTTTACTTTTGGTTTAAAATAACTTTTAAATTGTCACTCCATCAAACAACCAATAATGATGTCATCTAGTACCAGCCATTCTTTACTGGTGTCAAAACAAGCTGGAAAAACCTTTGTGTCACACGGTATGAAATATCAATAGGGGTTTTCATTGACTTGGGCTATAATGAAGGCTTTGTTTTGTTCTCCGTTCCTTGTTTAGATGAGAAACATCACAGAAACCTTAATGAAACCCCTGGAGAAGTTCAGGAAAGACCATCTTGGTGTAGTAAGGGTAATGTATGATGTTTATTTGTTCCCAACATGTGTGGTTTAGCTCTTAGTTGATCCATTTGTTTGCTTGGTGTACCCTAATGATTGGATGACAGTTGGATGGCAATAGCAAATGAATTGTACCAGTAACAGTTTTGACTCCTTTGTCCTCAACATTAATCAAGTTTTTTTGTTTTCCCTTTCTGCTTTTACTCCACTATCTTTTCTAAGGCGGAAAGAAAGAGGTATGAGAAAGAAACGGAGAAGTACTACAGCTCTCTGGAAAAGCTTCTGAATATGTCGGCAAAGAAGAAAGAGCCCCAGCTACAAGAGGTATTTATCCTTGCCTAAACTATCCAACACATATATGTGACATGCAGAAAAGCAATTCATTATGACGGCAAAAGAGACAAAACAGTACTTTGTTTAGTTTGAAAGTCCCTGTTTTTGATTTCGGCCTCTGGTGCCATGGGGGAAGTGCCTCGCTGCAAAGCCTTCTGGACCATGTGGGTTTCCACTGACATGCCTCGCAGCAACAGTTTTCCTGGCTTGTATCGGAAGGAAATGTGTGCTCACTTTAGCTGTACTGCCAAGGTCAAACTTGATTGCTGTAGCTTAGGGAACGATCCATGCTACAGTACCATGACATGGACATTTTATACAGTATGTGGAGGATTTAGCAACCTACACTAAACTATGTTTTGTTTCCATCTTGTCTTTGCCATGCCATGTAGCCATTTAAGGCTTACAGTACCCATATGTTGTATACACAAGCAGCGAGGAGACTTGAAGTGGTTGACGTCATGACTGCAGGCTGTTCTGTTCTCTGTGACTCTTGTGGAACACCAACACTGATTTCTATCCGACTTGAATAAATAGACCCTGTGATTTGTTCCTGGCCACAACACTGCCACAGTTTTAAATGAAACTCAATAAACAGAAGCATATATTATGTAAGTCACTATGTTAACTTAGGCCTGTCATTCTAATTACGTTATTGACATATTATGTAATATATTGACTGACCTTAATAATTGCTGCTGTCCTCGATGTTGCCTGTTGTGTTTACATACTGTACGTTTTTGTCAACATAAGAATGTCACCAACATTGTAGCCAACACGAGGATAGTGTCACAAAAGTAAAAGACCATTTCATTTATGGTTTAATAAATCTTTTATTTATTATTTCACAAAAATTCGTAATATTCTTCAAATGTAAAAGTGTTGACTTGCATTATTGGCGACAATAGTACCATAACCTATGTGAACTTAGATCTTACTCAAAATGTATAAAAAGTGACACTTATCAGTAGTTGACTTTAAGTTTGAGAGGATATCAACCAGTTATTCTTTAGTTGTGTTACATTACAAATCTTGGTATACCGTAATAAAGTATACATTTATAAATGCTATATTGTATTCATTCTATATTCAAGCATAGGTACTCTGCAGTTCTTTGATGTTCACTGTACTTCTGGGATGGCATAGTAGTTTGCGTTGTCCTCTCTCAGCAAAAAGTAAACAAATCTCCCCCACCCCCCGTCCTGCCGGGGCTTCACTGTGTGAATCTGCCCTCTGGGTGCTCTGGGTGCTTCCCACAGTCCAAAGAAAGGCAGGTTGCTGGAGATTAACTAGAAACTCTAAATTGCCCCATGGTTTACAGTTGTCTGTGTCCTCTGTCTATACACGTCAGTTCAGCAGAGGAATCTTCTTTTGTTGCACTTTCGTTAGTTTTCTTGAGGAATTTTTTGAATATTCTGTTTTGCTGTTACAGTTTTTGGGGTATTTTAAGTATATACTATTTTCATCAGATTCAAAAGTATAAGGACAGAGGGTGTTGTATGTTTAAAAGATTATGCAGCCCTCTGAGACACACCTGTTATTTGGAGCTATATATAGAACAATGTTTTGAATATTTGGTAGAGCACTAACCAACCAACCAATTATAATATCCCCTTAGCAAGAATTTGACAAGGTAAAAGTCTCATTAGGATGAAAATGCAGCACAACATTAAATGCAAACAAGCATATACAACTTTCACGCAATCTGAATTAAAAAGCAAAATATCGAGTTACTATGAAATACCAAAAAGAAATAGTTATAATGAATAAAACAGTTATAATTGTTTAAACAATTTCAGATTTATGAGAGATCACATTAGAACAAACAGCATAGTGCCATAACAGGGCGAAACCTCAAATTACACTGTATCGCAGTGATCATAATGTTTCTTCTTTGCTTCCATGCGTCCCTCTGTAATCATCCCTGTGTGTGTTCTCCACCTCCACAGGCAGACCTCCAGGTGGAAAACGTGAGGCTGCACTTTCAGGAGGAGTCACTGGAATATGTGTGCAAACTGCAGGAGATCCAGGAGAGAAAGAAGTTTGAGTGTGTGGAGCCGGTGAGCGACGCAGCTCAGTGTCAGCACTGACGTGGCTTGTCTTTTTCAGTTTAATAAAAGTGAAGGGCAGTATAGGATATGTCACATGGGGTTAGGTTACAAGTGATTTTGTTATGAGTTTCTCTTTCACTTGCTGACTCTTTAGATTAACATCTCTTATCATTTGTTCCCTGTGTTGTGATCTTTGTAGATGCTGGCCTTCTTTCAGACAGTCTTCACCTTCTATCATCAGGGCTTCGAGCTCGCCAAGGACTTTGACCATTATAAAAGAGCTCTGCAGATCAATATTCAGAATGTAAGAAATTATGAAGGTTTTATTGTTATATCTGTACTTTGGACAGGATGAGTCAATGACAATAGGCGCTTTCACACCGGAGTACTTTTCCCCGTACTTTTAGTTCCGATAGTTCCTGGGATTTTGCGTTCACACCAAAAAGAGAACTTGGTTCATAAGAACTTTTACCCCCTTTTTTAATGCCTGCTAGAGAGGTGGTACTTTCCTGGGGAGAAAAAAGTTCCAATTTCTGATTGGCTGGGCGAATTGCAAACCACGCCCCGTAAAACTCTGAGAAGTTTTGTGAAGCCGCCATTGCATTTGCTGGCATTAGCATTATTAGCATTAGCATTAGCCCCGCGCACCAACAGAGAGAGAATAACTTATGGCAACACAAAAAAAAACATGGGTGCGCGGGTGGCAGTATACGCCGTGAAGTTGTTTGCGGCCTGCCAGTAAACCCGAAGAAGAAGACGTGACGTCAGCGGCTTCATTTGCGTAATCTTCCCTCAGGAACTTGTTCCGGTGTGAACGCGATCTGCTCTTAGTTCCATGCTGGGTACTAAGTGCTGGGAACTAAGTACGGCAAAGTACTTGGTGTGAAAGCGGCTAATGACAACAATTGCCTCTATACAATTTATGTGATTTACCTTACGAATAGAAAACATGCTGAGCCTTATACAGTATGATTCGGAGGGAAATTTTGATACCTGAAGGGCAGAGAGGGCCCATGTCATAAAACCTTCATAACAGTTTATAAAGTTCCCATGGTACTTCAAAAATCATTCCTACCTAACATTAACAATAAAGCTCCAAACAGAGCGTCATGGGCCTTTGGGTCTATCCGTCAGATACAAGTCCAATATTGACTTGCCTTTTTCTCTCCATTTTGGCCACCAACTCCTGAGAATAAATTCTGATACTACATCATCATGTTTTATCTTTTTTCAACCATCTGTTCACTACGTACCTCCATCGGTTTGGTTTCTTTTATGCAGTGCCATTAGTCATATCTCGGTTTCGTTCTTAGATTCAGATAACTACCACTCAACTGATTTCATGGAAATAAAAGGGGTTTCCAAGGGAAGCTCATAAGTTTTGATTTGCAGCGACCTCTCATTAGCAAGGTCGTCCTACCTAATCGCTGAGCATCAGGAAGTGACTTCCTGGAGCATGTGTTTGCTTCCTCTCCCCTCCCCCCCCCAGACGAGGAGTCGATTTGAGGGCGCGCGATCAGAGGTGTACGAGCTGATGAAGAGGATAAGGGAGGCACCTCAGGATTACAGGCAGACCAGCGCTATCAGCTTCGAAGGCTACCTCTATGTTCAGGAAAAACGTAAGACCTTTTTATAGTTCTCATGTATTTTAATATTGGGAGTCATATTACGCCCATTCATAACACACACTCTACTGCAAGGAAATAAGGTCAAGGCTAGAACACATGACAAACTCTCCAAAAATACACTGCCCTATGTCATGGTCCAAAGGGGATTTTGAAAAACACAACTTGTTTTTTGTACTTACTGTATGTTGTTATTGACGTTATCTAAGGTGTTTTTGTGTGCAATTCTGGACAGAAAAGTGATGTTCTTTCATTCCCAATATGAATAAAACATCCATGTTCAAATGCAAATCTAAACAGCGTCATGCAGTCTGATGCATCTGCAAAATATTCCTAAAAAACAGACCATGTAAAAGAGTTGTTATTGTGGCTCTAAATAGTGTTGAATGTGAAGCTTCAATTATTTTCATAGTCAATTAATCTGCAGGTAATTCACTTTTTTAAACCATTATTTGTTTGGTCCATGTAAAGCACAAAATATTGACCAATGTCCAAGTCCAAGATAATGTCTAAAACACAAAAGATATTCAGTTAAATTTGATATAGTGAGAAAAGAAGGGAATATATATGCAGTATTTGAGAGGCTGGAAACAACATCGTTTTGCATGAAATTGTACTTTAACGTCACAGCTCAAGTTGAATGTCTGTTTTACATCCTTTTTTCCTCAGGACCACCTCCCTTTGGCTCAAGTTGGGTGAAGCGTTACTCCACGTTTGTCAAAGAGCAGAAGATCCTACACATGGTGACCTTTGACCACAGATCTGGTGGCAAGATTGTGAGTAGTCATAGAACAAATAGAATCATGGGTTATCAATAGCAAACTATTTGTATCATATCTCAGCCACTTTGCAATGTTTGATTTTTCAAATGCTATGCTATCTTTATTACTTGTTGTCATTACAACATTCTGTACAGTACATTTTGGTCTTTTGTTTTCAGGGTGAGACCGAGTCCGTCACGCTTAAATCCTGTCTCCGCAAAACAACAGACGTGTTGGACAGGAGGTTCTGCTTAGAACTCGACATAACAGACCGGTACGTCACCACCTGAAACACTGTTTTTAAATAAACACTGTATTTGTATTATGCTTGTAGTTGCAGTTATTAATTTGTCCATGTCTAAATGTCACATTTCGGTTTTTGAAAGTTTCTCTTGGATGACTCTTTAATATTAGTGAAAACAACAAAAACCCATGTGCCTTGTCCAAAGAGCACATATATTATCTGATATTCCACATTAACAGTCTTGCTAAAGATCTTAGCTCCTCACACTCGCTGTTTCAGTTACTGCGATAAGTGATTCAGATTGCAGAGGGTAGGAGAGCAGGATTTGTGTCGGAGGGCTGCCCACACACACTTAGCTTGGAGGATTTGTCACACCCTGCTGTGCCCTACAGGAATAGACACCTAAGTTTGTCTTAACTTAACTCTACCCTGCCCTTTTTCTGTTGTATAAATAGAAAAGCAATACCCCACATTTAGTATGGAAACACGAGTCCTCACATTCATTCTGATTGAGATGAGAAACCTGATATCCACCTGGTCCCATGTCTCATAAACCAGCTTGGATGACTAATAGGGATTACATTTGTTGCTGCACTTCAAAGGTGCATGTCTCCTAAACTCATTCGATCATTTTGATATTGACACCGTCATCCTCTAACGCCTTACTGTACTGTTCCTCCCAGGCTTTGTCTAATGTTAATGTGGTGTGGTGTTTTTACAGGCCCGGCACTGTGCTAACAGTACAGGCTCTGTCAGAGGATGACCACAAGTTTTGGATGGAGGCCATGGGTGGCAAGGAACCTGTGAGTCAGCTGCCTGCACTCTGTCATCATCTACCACTCACACTCTACTCATGTAGCCTCACTGTATTCTGTTTCACTGCCGTCTTTTTACTTCAATACACTTCCATATACCTGCAATTTCCTGCCTTACACAAGGTTTGAGCATACTTGATCAACTTGAAATAGTCGTGGTGATGATGATGATGTTATTTTCTTTTACAGTTTGGACACTATCTTGGGAGGACTTATTCCAAAGAAAGAGGAAGTAAGACATCTAGCTGTACTAGACTTTGTATCTGTAAACGAATATTAGTAATTCTCTTAACAGTTGTTGGTTTTTGTTTATGTTCTTCCTGCTGCAGTTGATGCCCAGCTGGACGAAGTGGGTTTGAGTTTTATGAAGAACTCGATCAGCGCCATAGAGACGAGAGGTGAGCTTCACATATGTATATAAAGAAAAGCTCAGTTTTAATTGGAGGATACTGTATATAACGTGAGAATTGGTGGACAGTTACAGTAACATGCGTGCAGTATCGTTATCTGTTCACAAGGGGGCACACTTGCTCCAACGTTGAAACAAGGCAGAGTGGCAGGTACTGCAGGAAGTGTCGACTGCATATAATACTAATGATTTCACTGCGTAGCACTGAAGTTCTTATTCAGTTGCCTCAGTGTTCTCACGCTCATCTGACCTCTTTTCCATTGGGGAAAAACTTTTTTACAAAAGTCACGCAACATTTCTTTATGCAAATGTTTATCTCACTGAATTTGATTAAATGACAATGACATATTCTTATATCTGATATATAGTTTCCATAAACAAAAACAGGGTTGTCATTGTGTGTATGTATATCATATAATATTCTGTCCATTTTTCAACTTTATTAAGATGAGTGCTATACAAATAACGTTTTTTTTTTTTTTATTATCTATCAGGTATTAATGACCAAGGCCTGTACAGAGTTGTTGGGGTATCCTCCAAGGTCCAGAAGCTCCTCTCATTAATGATTGGTAAGTCAAATTCTTTTCTTTTCTTTCTGCCTTTGAAATGTATTTTGCATAGAGAGTTCCCGTTAAGAGCTTGATAGAATTCAAAGTTGAATTTACAAGCTATACTGCACTTTCTCTGTGATGTTAGGTTGCTCGCAGAGAATTGAGTGTGTTGACATAATGGATGTGACTGTCGAGTCGATATTAAAAATATACTTCCTGACAATCGGCCCATGACTCATCCCAACAGAACCACGTCCCTTTTAAAGTGCAACAAGTGCTTGGGTTTATCTAAACTTCAATTCATTTAGTTGAATATCCCCCAGACAGCCAGACAGCACCCCTCCCGCCCTTTTTGGCTTTTGATCCATTAACACACCCCTAAAAACTGCCTCTAGCACACGTGGCTGGCTTAGTTTATCAGTCCATTTTCTCAGTTTCTCTCACTCGCCTTGAATCCCTTTCACTCAAGTTATTTTTCTATTGAGCTTGTCCTCTGTCCTTTCTATTGCTCGCTGTCTGCTCTCTGGTTCCCTGCCGTCACTACCAGACACCAGCTCACTTTCAGCTCTGTGTTCAGAATGACAACAAACTCAGGCAGCCGTCAGCCTGTCTCAGCTTCCTCTCCAAATCCAGCCCCGCAACGTGCCGACTCATGCTGTGGACTCCATTAACACTCTGCTGCTGCACTCTTAAAAGTTTTTGAAAGCCAGAGTAGAGTGAAATAAGTGTTCAGATCAGAATCAGAATCAGAAACAGGTTTATTGCCAGGTAGTTTTCACACATACGAGGAATTTGACTTGATGTCATGGTGCAGACATAAAATATAAAACAAGAAATCTAATATAAAACAAAAAATCTTTAAGGACGTAATAAAATATAGTTAAATAGCAATAAAATAAAGCAGTAATTTACATGGAAATAGAATGCTATGAATGAATTATAGGATATGAAACAAGAAATATGTGCAGTAAGCTGTATGAACATTCTGTTCGTCTGTGGGCTTGACATTCCACATAATATTGTGAATAAGGGGGAAAATACAGATAATACTTACACTTTAAATGTTTGCTTCACTGCCTGATTATTATATGGCCTGAAACACAACGTGGATGTTATCCCTGAAATGACAGTGGTAGTACTACTTCTAGAAAAACCAAAACGTTTGCAAACCTTTCATGCATTCAACTGTTCAAAGTGAGTGGGTGCAGTGAGCTTTAAACCCTTAAGAAAGACTTTGGTCCTCCCACTCCTCCTCCTTTTCATCTCTCAGCCAGGGTCCCATCAGAGAGGACAGAGTGATAGAAAACAAGTTTCCCATCATATACAGTCAAATCAAAGAGAGCAGCACCTATTGAGTGTCAGGAAACAACATACCAGGAAGTACAAGTGGGCTGAGGCAAGGGAGTAAGGTGTTGATGGGATATGGCTATCACAGCTGCTGAGTAAGACGTCTTAGTTCTATAGATATACTTGCAGAGCGAGGCACATTTGAGGAAAGATGTGAGGAATGAAGAATTACCTGTTCAATTCCACATTCTCATCATTTAGACCGGTAATGAGTATACATTAATTTGTCCCAGAGTGCTGATCCAATGCCTAAAATGTTTATGCTGCTTTCTTCTTGTGTTAAACAACATTAATTCAAAACAAGATCTTGAAACTATGATTGATGACTCTTGAAACACAGTTTTCCACTCACCCTATCGGCCAGTGAGAGTCCAGAACCCACAAGAGGTTGCAAAGCAAATCAGGTTATACTTAAACAAAACTAACTTGTACACCCCTTTGTCAATCAAATGTAGTGGCTCTGAACGTCCTCTCAGGAGGAGTTAAAAGCTGGAAAGGGGAGGGACCCGATATTATTTTGACATAATGGTGCATGTCTTCAGACAGTATTTTCTGAAAGACATTAATACTGTTGCACTTGCCGGTGCTAACATGAAGCATACAGGCAGCTTGATGGGTTATTTAAAAACAAAAAGGAAATAAATGTGGTCATTACATACTGTACAGGAAGCAATCAGTGATTAAAGGAGAAGCAAGTAGACTTTCTCATCACTGCACCAACCTGTAAAAGCACACCCTCATCCTTTTACCTGTTGACACCCACATATACATGCATTGTTGTGATTGATGACATTGCAGACTTATTTATTTTATTGTTTTACCATCATTGCATGATATGATGTGATCTGATGATATCTGGTATAGTTGGAAACAGTTTTTCAAGTCACCTCTGAGTTTTAAAAAGTGTGCAATGGTCCATCCATGTTCTCCTAGTTTACCAAACTCTTCCTGCATAATGGATTGGTATAGCAACAATGTTTTTCGGCATCCAACTGTCTCATGGGAGCTGCAGTTCCAACTTTAGAAGCTATGCTACAGCCACCACACAGTTATGTAATCCCCCAAAGGGCTTGATCTATACCTAAGGTCAAATAACAAAGCATGATATATTTGGACTTGCTTCTGCTTTATGGTTAGCACTCCCATAATCAATGCTACTCCATCTGCTGCTGCCAAAAATGTTTCTGTGTGTCCTTGACCTACAAAGTGTAAGCCTGTTTGTGCAAGAGCATACTTCAGAGCCTGAGCAGACCCCATCCGTCTCCACACACACACACACACACACACACACACACACACACACACACACACACACACACACACACACACACACACACACACACACACACACACACACACACACACACACACACACACACACACATACACATACACATACACATACACACTTGCAGAGGCACCTTGGCTACAAACACATTTGCTTCAGAAGTTGATATTGGACAAGCCATTTTGTGGACAGAGAAGGTTGAGCAACACCCAATCCTCCTGACTGACTGCAGTGCTTAAATGAAATAAAAATAAATGTCCATGTCAAAGACCAGCTAACACCCACAAAGCTAAAGTCTGCGTGGTGACCTGAGCCCTGTACAGTACATGTGTCTGACTCACTGACACATTGCACTTCCACATCCTCTTTAATTCATCAGAGGTTACTTAAGGTGTCACTAAAGCCGCCTGAATTTTCAGCGGAACACGGCCCCAGAGTCTCCATGGAGCTGTAGAAGTAGTGAGGGATTAATTAAACTTGTAATGAGTGTAGAAACAGCAGCACCCTACAGAAGATGTGACTTTCTTCCATTTCCACTGAGGTTCGACTCCACGCCCAGGGCTGGAAGCGCTGCTTTAATCCTCACATGGCTAATTACAAGTAACATATTTATATTACATATTTTGGCTCTCTAGGCTGCCCACAAAATCACAAAGACTATTTCGCTGCTTTATGCAAAAACAATAGTTAGCTCCTGCTTTTGGTTGTCTCTTCAGGTAATGTCATTTTCCGTTAAAAATATGTTTCTTGATTGTGATTCATTCAGATGAGACGAACATTGACATGGATCTGTCCACCAGCGAGGACTGGGACGTTAAGACGATAACCAGTACACTGAAGCTTTATCTGAGGTAAGGATCTGTGTGAGGAAAGACACACACTCTCTAAATGTGAGCCATCCGTCTTATAACACATTAGTCGATTGACAACAAGATTAACTGGCAATGAAGCAATATTTCAAAAGTAGTGTAAATGTTTTATCCTGATTCTTTATTCTCTCTAATGGGATTTCAAACTGAATATCCTTCACGTTTGGACTGTTTTAAATGATAAATGACATTTTTCAATATATTATGTTTTACAATGTGATAAAATATGAATTGATACTTTAAATACTCCTGAATTGCAGCCCTAAAACTACACATTAGGCATTGATATTGTTTATTTGCTAATACTTTCTGCTGGGATCATTTGAACTCTTACTGTCACTCAAACTACACCTGTGCTCGGTGCATAGATAATTCAGAGCTGTGTTTCTAAGCAAATCTACATCTCACCTGAGACGATCCCAGGGGTTAATGGAATGTTTTCTTTCTACATCTTTCTTTTGATGAACGTGATGACACTTGAATATGAAACATTTAATCCATTGTCGTCTCTGTTTTTTGTAAAAATGTGTTAATTATGCAAAGTGCTTTTGCATAATTGACTCCTTGAGAGGTCACATTGCTTACTGTGTGACTGTTCGGCTTTCACCAACTTCTTCTTGGTTGATAGTGTGGGGGAAGTTCAAAGATAAAAAATGTAGCATGGTTTCAAGAAGCTGAGGCAGTTTTCTTTTAAATGCCATTTTGTTTTACAAATTGAGTTGACTTTTAGAGCCAAGATGTATTTTCTGTGTTGAAATGTACCTGTTTTCATTCATTTCATGCTACAGTACATTACAGTAAAGTCAATCAACAGTTTTTAAACAATTCATGTTTAAGGCCCATCATCAATCCGTTCTGTCAGGCACCTATTGACATTCCTTTTGAATGACTACTTGTTTTTGATTTACCTGCTCTTCAGCGTTCATAGTTGAATCATGGTCATTAAGTTACATTTACTATAAGATGTTAAGAATAGATGAACAGATTTAATTGGCAAATTGAGTAGCAAAATATGAATTATGATCAAACTATCAGCAGTTATTTATTAAGTTATTGTAAGTAATGTAATAGACATTGCTAAAACTAAATAATAATTAAATAAAGAAGTTCTGTTTTCTTTATCTCTTATTTTCACTAATGTTAACTAATTTGCGATCATGAAATCACAAGTGCTTTTTAATTATATTTTAGGTGAGTATTATCTAAGATAAGGTTATGCTCATTTTAAGCTCTGCACTATAAAGGGGCCCTATTATGCTAATGTTCAGGTCATCATTGTGTTTTGTGCCTCCTGCTTCAACACTTCAATGTTCAAAAAGCTCTTTATTTTTCTCATACTGCCTGTGCTGCAGCACCTCTTTTAACCCTGAAACCAGAGCCCAGCCTGCTCTGATTGGTTAGCTTAGAGATGTCCCGCCCCTTGGCCTTTCACCTTCAATGTGTTGGAGCGCTAGCTAATAGAAGTGAGAGGGTTACATGGTGATGTTGTTATGTTACGGAAGTAAACAAAGAAGTCCAATCGAGGCGTTTCAGGCAGAGCAATTCCAGGCACAGAAACCTATATAACAAACTACAGGAAATGGAAAACCCCCAAAACTAAAATGTTTAAATCACAGTCTTCTCTTGTTATAACTTCCAAAGTAATGTAGAGCTTTCCTGTGTCAAGCCGGCAATACTCACTGCTACATGTTCAGTGTTTAGGCTTACATATCCATATTGTTATGTTATATTAAACCCTGCTGAGTGTATCTCGGACTTGTCTTTAACTTTGTGTCTGGCCTGCTGGAATAACGCAGGGTCAATCTCCTCAGTTTCCTCTGAGGCTAAGTACCTTTGGCCAGTGGCCAGCTGCAGTGTGGAAGTACCTTCAGATGAACTTGGTTATCTCAACGTGTGCACCATCTAATTCCATCCCCTGGCCCGGCCACATTAATCATTGCTGTGTGCAGACCCTATAAAACAGTGTGCCGGCTATTTCTGTCCCCCCTCGCTCACTTCAACTCTCACTTCTCCATCCAACCCCCCCCCCACCACCCTTCTCTCTTCCTCTCTCCCTCTCTCTATGTAGGAGCCTTCCTGAGCCATTGATGACCTATGGACTTTACAAAGAGTTTATTAGCCTTGCGAGTAAGTTTGATCACCTCTTATACCTTCACTTCATCAGAGTACAGACTGTAATAAGTGTGCATCAGTTTAGGCTCTGCAATCCAATGGTTGATTGTTATAGAAAACATGCAGTCAAGTGAAAACGGTTGGATCACTTTTAATAACTTTCTGTACGTTTTTAACCAATTCTTTTAAAGGGTTTGTAGTGGTCAATCCTCCAAAGTAAGGGACTCATAGTCTGAAAGCTATTGGTCTGTGTGTGTCTTGAATGCTGATTAGGATCTATCCACAGTTGTCCTCATTTTTAGACTCAAACAGTCGACAGATTCCTGTAAAAAAAATCTAATGTTTAATGCTATACTTTTATGTCTCCTTACTTGGTTTCAGAAATCTGCACTCCCAACATCTGAGGACACTGTTTTAAATGAGAAATGTGAATATATTTGTTGTTGACTCCCAGGGATTACAGTTTATCTAATCTGGTTGACCACAAGGCCTTTTAGCTGAATTAGGCTCAGACATACATTTCAGACTGTTTAACAACACCATGTTTCTGACACTTGTTAGCATTTTAAGAAGCCCATATTAGCTTACTGCCCATCTTGATCTTATTTCCACCCGTTCTAACTTGACACTAAAAGGCCATTAAATGTGATAGCTAATAGGTCTAAAATAATCAAAATGCTGTAATTTGCATGCCCTCAAATGGTCCAGTTTGTGACCTTAAACAGCAAAAAGACACATTTCTTTCGCCCACATAACATCATTTATGTGGCAAATGTTTTTAAAGCAAGCCAAGACTTGAATCTTATTACAACAAGTGCTATAATTGGATCAGGTTGACATTTTTATCAGGCGCTCGCAATGCCCTCATAACAAGGGGGAAAAAAAATGGATTAGTGATGAATATTTTTGATGGATGACAGCACCCATAAGCAGCTTTTTTTCACGTTTAAATCCTTGTCGTTCCCATAGTAATGATGTTTTGTGTGTCTGCATATGAGTATGTGTTTGTGTGTGTGGGCGGTCAGATGCCCATGTGTGAGGAAATGTTTAAGAGATGATCTTGGGGGTTTTAACACAACCCTTTTATACCGTAGCGACAGTAACGTAAAGCTATCTCCTTCGCCAGCATAGTGGCTCCTGCTGCCAAATGTTGGAGGCTTCAGACCATATATCACTTTCACTCCTCATCTTCAGTTATTTAAACTGCAATGGATCATCCTCATATCCTTATACTTGAGGGTGATGGCCTCTGATCACTGTGGCCTTAAAGGTCTGATTAGTTTGGCTCAATTTTCAGTTTTTCCTAAATGTATCCAAATATTTTATAGGACTTTTATAGTCTTTAAGGGACTATTTCTTCCATGAAATACATTTAAATCATGTGTCTGTAACTTAAATTGCCCACTGCTCAAATTTACATTGTATATCTTGTATCATCATGTCTCTACATTTGCAGTTTGCTAAATTTGTACACTATCGATCGCAGCTGATTTGGCTCTTTGCCACCAGAGAAATGTGTGTAATTTAATGCCAGTGCATGGCTGCTTCTGCGTTTGAACAGAGGGCGGTAGTCCAGAGTCTCGCATCCAAGCCGTCCACTGCCTGGTCCACAAACTACCGGAGAGGAATCGACAAGTCCTCGGGCTGCTCATGAAGCATCTGGCCAAGTGAGTGTTCATACTTCCTTGGTCATAGTTCACCCAATCTCCGCCCCCTCTCTCTCAGTTCTCTCGCTCCGCTCTTCCTGTCTGTCTCCTCATTCTCACTCCACATGCTTTTTTCTCTCTCTCTCCCTCACTCCCACTCTCTTCACTCCCCCTTCCCTGCTGTCACTCCATCTTCTCTCCGTCTACTGAGTGACTGCTGGGAAAGAAAATCAATGCCACAAGCAGCTTAACTTTCTTTTTTTTGCCTTTTCTTGGGTCATTTTAAAATTATTAAAAGTTGAAGAGGGAGGATTGTGTATCCTGTTCGGCATGCCGTTGTGCAGCCCGCCAGTGCAGGGAAATTAAATGGACCTCTCAAATTAAGCCCTCTCTTGAGATTACTCTATACACCCCTGGATAAACCACTATTGTGCATCATTCCATTTGTGAGATTAGATAGGAAGAAAGATTTAAGAAATAATGTTCGCTAACATTACAAGGTTTTACCTCAGCAAGCTTTTTATAAACTAAATATGAGCAAATTGAAGATAAGTAAATAATCCCTCTTCCCTGAGGCAGTGAAAGTCTGGTGGATCTTATTTCATAGAAACCCGCTGCAGAATCAGGCTCTGGTAAAAAGGCAGCGCTATTGAAATTGAATTTGGATTATCCAGCGTGAAATTCTCCAGACTGGAGAGAGTCGGATATTTTTCTGAAGTTGGCGTGTGTGCATGTCCTGCAGGGGAAGGAAGCAAAGCCAGAATTTCACACTCCTATCTGAAATGGTTTCAGAGATGTTATAAATGTGAGTTGTCACCAATGTTTTTGTCTTCAAAGGCATCCTTTGAAGCTATTTAAACTGTCTCTGCTGCTCTCCTGCATATCATCACATTTTGAGTGTGAAATCTGTTCACCTGTCCGTTTAACTTCTTCAAATTCACTCTTTTTCTACACTTTTATTGACCTCTAGAGATAAAGTTTTACTAACTGAAGGGTTTCTGATTTTTTTTAAACTGATCTCGAGGACATTTAATTAAACTTAGTATTCCTCACTGTCTGAAGTAAGAACCTAGTGTTTAAATGATGAGAATAACCACTCCCAGAAGTATTGATAGTTGTGGTTGGAATTGATTTGGACAGCATTAGAAGTGGTGGGTGTAACCTCAAAAAGTCTACTTCCACAAATCTCTATTTTTTTTATTTTATGTTAAACCGTAGTATGCACCGTAGGAAATGATAAGTTCCTAAAGTAATCCCTGCAACATCCTTTTGTATTTCCAAAGCAATTTTGGACTTTTGATATGCTTGCTTATTGTGAAATTGCGCTTTATAGGACAAAACAATACATTCCTGCAGTGCTTTTTATCAAAACTAAACTGCCGTGCCTTAAAGGTAGGGTAGGTACGTTTGAGAAACCGGCTCGAGATACACTGTTTGTTATATCCCATGGAATGCTCTTAACATCCCGATAGCTATGAATATCTTAAGTGCTTTGACAATAAATCCATAAAAAAATAGGGTTAGGGTTAAAAATAACTGGATGGCCTACCTGCCTGTCAGCCTTCCATCTGTACACAAACTTATCTCGTGCCCTCATTGGTCATGTGCGCGTTCGTGTGTGTTGGAGGAGGGGCTCTGTAAGGAAGTGGCAGATTTTCTCCGGTTGTGTATTTTCAAATTCTAGCGATCTCGAGCCGGTTTCTCAAACTTACCTACCCTACCTTTAAAGAAAGACCACCTTCCTGTCAACATAATAAAAACCATTAACCTTTTTAAATGAAACATTGACCTTTAGGGAAAAGAGCAGAGGAGCAATTTTGCACAGGAATGCCTTATATTTAATGAGTAAGGCTGTTATCTACTAACTAAATTACCACCTCAATTTCCACGTGGAAACCAAAGCCATTTCAAGGGTGTTTTCGAGGCAGCAGCCAAGTCATACAGTAATTGATATTTGCTACTATGTCTGTCTTCATTTTCTTTTTTTCTTCATAATTTCCAAACAGGAATCCATTCCACTAAAATATGGTATCATTTCCCCCTTTTATCTTAGTTCATCCCTCCCTTTTTCAGTAAAGAATTAACATCATGATTCATGAGTATAGTCGAATCAAGTTGTTTCTACTCTCATTCTCTCCTGACAGAAATCCTCAGTAAAGTGAGTTATTACATGGGGAGTAAAGTGTGTCTGATGTGAGCTGTTGTCTTCCTCAGGGTGGCGGCTCACAGTAAACAGAACCTGATGACCGTGGCTAATTTGGGCGTGGTGTTTGGCCCGACATTAATGAGGCCTCAGGAGGACACCGTGGCTGCCATCATGGATCTGAAGTTCCAGAACATTGTTGTGGAGATCCTCATTGAACACGATGAAAAGGTAACACTCAAGACTGGGATTCAGCAGACACAGAGAGCAGTGTCGACTATGCTATCAATAAGTTATAAACCAAACTATCCCTGAAAATGTCTGATAGCAGTATGGCTTCCTATGAAAGTTATCGCTACCTTGTCTATTATAAAAGATACTTTTTATTGCATTATCTGTTTTTGTATTTGTCAGATCTTTACTGGACTGACTGCACTTTGGAAGATTTTCATGCAGTGCAACATTTTCTGTATTATTATGTTACGACTTGTCATCATGAAATATTTACTAAAAGCTGGACACCCTAGGCATAACAAGGTTCAAAGATAAAACAAAATCATATGTGAATCAGGTGACACACAGCAGTGTTTATCTACCTGGGTGGCGTGTAATTGCTTGAAGGATATTCAAATACATGTAAATAATATGCAAGCAAGGCAAAAGAGCTACTGTTTAGAAGCCCTAGTCTCTGTACAGAGCGCTTTCTTACTATTGCTCAGAAGTTTTGTATTTTTATTTGGCAGTTTCTCTTGGCAGAGGGGTGCAAATACTGTACTGTACCTGACGCCAGCATTTCATTTGGGCAGAGTAAGAGTCTCAATTACTGTAGGGTGCTTGTGAAGCTCTTCCCTTCTGTAGATCCACTTTGTTAAGGTTGTTTAGACTTCGGTGTACTTGCATAACAATCCAGCTTCAATTCAGCTTCTTTAAGCAAAAGCTCTTGCAATGATAATGCATCTTATTACTTAGTGGTCTGTTTGGATACATGTGTATAGTATATTTTGCTTGTTTCACAAAGTAATACCAGATAATAAGACGTGTACCACATTTACATTTTACCTTTGGGAAAACGTACCCTTCACCACGTCATTAGGGTGTAGAGAAGTTAGACAACAGTTTCATATCCATTTTTTATTTAGCCAATAGGGGGAGCCCCAAGTGCTCATACCAGGATTAAACACATTTAATTCTGTTCCTTTTCAGTAGGTTGATTATTCTGTAGATTACCAAATACATTTGATTATATTTGGAAGGTCCTTTGCCTGCCTAAACACATTTATTTAGCTTATGAGATGTTTCAAAACCTGTAGTTCATGGGATCATGTAATCTCCCCAGAATGTCATTAATCGGTGTCAATCCTCGGAGCGGGATAATTGTCTGTGTCAAAGAGTAAAAGGTTTAAGATTAGTTTCATAATCTGTTTGGAGCAGCGCTGCACCCTGTGTTGCGTCAGATGGAACCAGGAGATTTGAGGTTCTTTTTTTTCCCTACAGCTTCATTAAATGGAAGATGATGTGTGTTGTGAATAATATCTCAATTCCCAAGCTCACAAACATAAAATGGGGTGTGGGAGACTACAGAGTGAAATCAAGCATGGTATACAAATGTTTTAAAACAACAGCAGCAGCAACACGGTGTGTACAGCACGACTCTGAGCCGCCCAGAGGTATCCAGCAGCGTCCAGGTGATAACGGATGTAGTGTAAGAATGCAGCAGGAGCCTTTTAGAAAGTACAGCGTGTTCGAGCAGGGGGAAAGTCGAGCAGACAGACACAGGCATTAACTTCGCTCAAAGCTTAGTCCCACTCCAGACTGTTGATACCCCCAGATACCAGCAGTAGACTCTGTTTTACATTCACCTCCATCTTCAGAGAGAGGCGAGAGGGAGAGAGAGAGGGAGGCAGCAGAAACTCTCAGCCATATCAGATTTCTCACTTTTTCTATCTGCCTCTCTCCTACAAACTTTCTCTCTCATGCCCCCTCCTTCGTGTCTGCCTCCCCCGTTCACACTCTCACTTCCTCTGCCACTTTCTCCCCCCTCTCTCTCTCCTCCCGTTCCTCCCTCCCTCCTCTCCTCGTCTGTGATCCTTTTCAGAGGCTCTGCTGAGACTTCCTCTCCTCTGCAGCCCTATTCTCTTTTAACTCCACATCTGAAGTTTATATGTAAACACGGCCCGGTGTAAACAGGCTGCGCCAGTTGGCCGGCCCTCCTCCAGTCCAAACCCTGTTTATTTTACTCCCTGCTCTTTCAGAGAGTGGGTCAATATCTTTGAGGGGAAATGTCACCTTAACTTAGAACCCAGATTTCTGGAAGGAATGTGATTGCGTTACATGTGGAGCAGCTCTTGTTTATTTTGGCACAAACAAAATCTTCTCACATGCAGTTTTTAAGGTTCAATCAATGAGCTACTCGGCTCTCCCTGGGAGCACATGCTGCGGCTGCAAATGGCCTTTTACTATTAATCTACTACTACATAAAGCCTGTGAGTTTAAACACCCTGTTCAGCTGAGGTCAGTTGAGGACAAACTGCTGCTGCTGCTGCTGTTTGACATCAAGAATATCTGCACTGTGCTTTTAGTGTCGGTAGTGACTTATTGTATTTATATTTTTGTATTCAGATGTTTACAGATGCTCCGGAGTCGTGTCCTCTCTCACCTGCTGCCCCAGAATTCTCTGCTCCCACGAGGCAGTCCAAGAAGCTGAGTCGACAGAGTCGGCCCCTGGCTGTCTACAATCCACAAGCTCTAGATATTCAGACTGGTAAGAGACACGCACATGTGCACCTGTTTATCGTCACAACTCCGAATATATTTAAGGGACTGAGTCATACAAACGTTTTATAAGATCATAGCAATTGGCAATACTATTTTTTGCTCTAGAATAAAGATTGGACCTTCGGTTTTAGATGGTAAACTACCATAGCGATCCAGAGATTATGCTACTCAAATATTCATTTGTTTAAGGAGCAAAACAGGTTTAAAAATAAACAGAAATAATATGTTATCCTGGAAAATATGTTTATGAAATAAAAGATAAGATTGTTATCCGTATATCATTTTGAGTTGAAACAGAAGCTCCTTAGAACAGGTAGCCAACGTTCTTTTGACAAAGATCAAAAATGTGTTTATTTAGTAGTCATTTTATAGTAGTCAGTCCATTTACAAAAACCTGCATGTCATCAACGCTATTTACATGAATGTAGCTATCGCGATGTTAAGCTACCTGGTTTGTCTAGAACTTTTTAATGGCAGGAACACCTCCCCACGTAGCACCACACAATGATCACTATCAACACCTCTATAACAGCGAAAACGTATTTTGTTGCAAGCCAAGGTACCTAGTATTACCGAATAAACTGGCAACTGAGTGTATTTACGCTTTATTACTGCTTGGCTCTGAATTAATTCACTCACTAATGATTAGCCTTTGTGTTCCCTGGTGACCGCTATGGACCCTAGCAGTGTTTGCAGAAGACACACTGAACTCTGTTGCCGGCTATCTGTATTAATATGTGAAGAGAGATTAGCATTTATAGCTTTATGTACCATGGTTTTCCTCTGTTAAATTATTTAAATTATTTGCCATTTCATCTATTAGTGGATAAAAAAAGGGAGACTATGATAGGGGCTCTGGCTGTTCATCAGGTGATCTGATCACCTGACCTGATGACCCAAAAAATATAACTCCAGCTATTTCTGATTCATTGCCAGTCAAATCCCTTCCCCTCCATTCAAAAGGAAAATCTAAATCTGCTTACCAGATAGTCTCTCTTCCTCCCTCGCGCCAACTTTTAGCATGGGGTATTATATTATCAGGGATAAAGGGCCTAATCCTCTTTTAACCTTTGTATATGAGTCCCTCATAATGGTTTGAAAGTAAGTTGTCTCTGCATTCAGCTCGTCAAAGCAGATTTGGAAGAGGAAGTGTTTGTGAATGCTGCATGAGTTTGTGTTGTGAAGCCCTACAGCAGGTAGTGTTGGTGAACATTGTGGGGAAATCAAATTATAATTATTTCAGATCATATTAGCAAGCTTGTTGGCAAACAGTTGTTTATTTACATATCTAGCAGTTACAGAGCAATATAATTCACTTGGTGCTGTGTTGCTGTTTACCTGGCAAATATAAGTCCAATATTCACCCTCTTCTTAGCTCTGTGTGTGGTCTCCAGTGACTTTTGAGGCATATATCTGGCTCTTACAATGCTCAATACTCCACTTTGTTCAACGACTAGTTACCTGTCTGCTATAAGTCGCCAAACGGGTGGTGTGACCTCTTTCACATTGTGAAAAGTCAAGTTTTAATGAATAAAATCTAAATGAAATAAACACATTTTACATTACTTAAAGGTGGGGTAGGTAATTCACTTCAGAAACACTTTTTGTTATATTCCATGGAATGCTCTTAGCATCCCGATAGCAATGAATACATGAAATGCTTTGACAATAAATACATAAAAAAATGTCATCTGTGGAAGCCGTGGCGCTGTAAAAAGCACGACCAATCATTTTAGCCGATGGCCTACCTGCCTGTCAGCCTTCCATCTCGTGCACAAACTTATCTCGTGCCCTCATTGGTCATGTGCGCGTTCGTGTGTGTTGGAGGAGGGGCTCTGTAAGGAAGTGGCAGATTTTTTTCGGCTGCGCAGTTTCAAATTCTAGCGCACTCGAGCTGGTTTCTACATTCTTACCTACCCTACCTTTAAGACCTGTGATGGCCCCCAGATGCATGCATGGTCCATACAGAATGTATAATAAGCCCTGCACCAGTTCAATTCTATCTTAATAAAAGATGTGCTTTTGGTTTAAGCTCTTTGATATATGTTTGCTTGGGGAAAAAAGAAGAAATGGTAAAAAAAAACAATGACTTTTTTAACATTAACAGCTGCTTCCGTGCCTCCCCCTTCTCCCATACGCAGTATCTTTACTTGACAGTAAAATTGAAATAAAAGAGCTCAGATCTCCCTAGTGTTTCTCCGGTTCCCGTCTTAGACTGCAGAAGAGTATTATCATGAACAATACAACCTTGGTTGTAAGTCACGTCTGTGTTGACAGCAGTTTGATTCATAACGTCCCCTGTTGATGCAGCTTTGCCTTATATCTTGATAAATTATTCAACCGTTTTGTCAGGCAAGTTCTCATCAGTGAGATGGAATAGGCAGAACTTTTACAGTACAATAAAATATATGGAAAGATGTAAGTAATTAACGTTGTAATTTTGTGTCAGTAGTGGGAGATGGACCCACCCTAGCTACAGATGAGACCTCGATGGGCAGCAACGAGTCTGTGTCGTCTCAGTCGTCGTCAGCCTCGGCCTCAGAGATCTCCACAGAGAAGAACGACCACATCCCGCTTAGCAGCAGCCTCATCTCAGGCAGCAACTCCAGGTGAGAGCTCAGCTATGTGCACAAAGGTGCAGTCTGTGGTTTTAGAGAATGGTTGTTGATAAATTGTTCTAACACGAAAATAAATAAACCATTCTCTTCAGGGCTTCTTCTGAACATTATCATGTGCCAAAAAGCGTTCCTCTGCCACCATTGCTTGTCTTTGTATACATCCATGCCCTTTCCTCTGTGCTGCCTGGAAATTAGTTTTGAATCTGGGTTCAGGACACTTTGTTGGCTTCACATTAACAGAGCTAGGGCTGTGTATAAACACCAGTTTTTTTTTGCTGTGCACACAGAATAGACAGTTATTAGGCCGTGAGGAGATATTCACTTAATCTGCCAAGAAAAGTGTATTAGATTAGAGTTACAGGCTCAACCTTAAAGTCCAAAATCAATGTGACTGTGCATCAATGAAAATAACTATAGTCATAATGAATCCACAGAGTTTATGTTCAGATGTGGGCTGTGTCTACTGTATGGTTTTCAAATGAAATTGCATATTTCTTTTTAATATTTTAATTACTGTTTTAGGATCCAATGTTTGAGTTGTTTGGATGCTTATTGATCCTTCCCTAGTGCATCAATTAAATCACATTGTATCGTATTCAGACATAGAATACATTCAGAAATAGCATCATATAAGATATAACACAATGTGGCAGTGACACAGTTGTTTTTCCCAAAGAGTATTTAGCATCGACCAAGATAGATTTTTTTACTTTATAAATTCAGCAAATAAGTATACAATTCCCATTGAGAGTCATCAAAAACGAAACAATTTATAAGCAATAACTTTGGGTGTCAGCTTCAATGTTAATGCTTTTAGTCAATTACAGTTTGTCCTTATATTTCTGTCTCGTAAATATAATAGAAGGAAATGCTTCATCAGTTTGGTGCTTTGCTCCCTCTGGCTTCTCCTTTCTGTCCTCACTCTCCCGACTAAGTCCTTGGTCGTTTTTGTTGTTTCCAGCCCGTGACTTGCCCTGAATGCTGATGTGAGAGATGAATTATTGGGTTATACTGCAGATGTTAGACTCGCTGCTGTGTCATGTCTACAGATTCACCTTGAAATAGACTTTTTCCTCATTCACCGTCCCCTTCTCCTTCTCTGCCAGCTGAAAAGACTTTTATAAATAACGTGAAATCCACCTCACAACTTGAGAGAGGACAATGTGATTCCTTTCTCACTTTGACCTCTGTGGGTATGTGCCCACCTGTGTGTGTAGGCATGTTCACTTCCAGTGTTTTCTTTAAGTCGCAGGATCAGATGAGCAATACAGTATTTTATGTAACCAACCCCTTTTTGTGTATCCTGTGGGTATTTTTTTGTTGCACTTTCCCACATATGTGGCATCATGCTGTAGGACGGAAGGAGCAACCAGGAGGAGGTCGTAAATCTCAGCTCTTATTTGTTTGGGAGACAGGTGGCCGTGTAAATCGTATTGACGTTGGGGAGATATTCATCTTGTTTACCCTTATAGGCGCAGCCCCTGTCCCTTTATGAAGACTTGCGCCATATGTCACAGGGTGTCGCCCTGGCTTTATTCACTCCTAAATCTTAGCATGTGAGATGGTGGAGACCTGTTAGCACGGCACCTCGCTGGCCTGGAACCCAGGGATTCGGCTTCAGTCCGGGCCAAAAAGAGCAGTAGGGAAGGCAACTGCTAGATTACTCCCAGCAACTCTCAGAAATGTATTATCTGCACTTCGGTGTGCTCAAAAGTGCACCTGGAAAACAGCATATTTTTACCGGTTTCCTGCAGGATAGCTGCAGCAAAATCTGCCTGGTCATACACAAATGCATCCTGACTCACTATATCATGCCATGACTCTTTGTGGACTCTGGCATGATTTATCATCTCCGTCATTTTCGATGTCTTGCCTCATTTCTCCTCTTCTCCCTAAATTCAGTCACAGCTTCTCCCAGTGGTACTGTCGCCTCAAGTCCTTCCCAATGAGTTTACATTTTTTGGCGACTTTTCCTTCCTCTCTCCTGCCCTATCTCCAGCCCTCGCCGGCAGACAGCTGTGTTTCATAAAATGGTGGATCAGAGTTTATTTCCTGCCCACCCAAACTGGCGGTGTCTGGGCGCGCTGCTTGGCTGATGGTTTGATCCCACTTTCTACTAGAAACATTACTAAATCCCAGCGCTGCCCGTCTTCCTTTAGTGAAAAGACAGTTGATAGCCCCACTCATCCCCGCGTTAGATCCATGCCAGGATCAACATGGCCTGGATGCTGCAGGGGAAATTCCTACAGTAATGAGAAGCAGCAGTCTCTGCATGTTGATGAATTTCTCCCTGCTACTAACCTGGCAGCGTGGGACACAGTGTGATACAGTGTGATAACCCTGATGTTTAAAATAATAAACCAGAAGACCTTCACTTCACCTTGGAATTTGATATTCACTGTCTTGCATATTAAGATATATGCTTATAAATACCTCACAACTTTATATTCTTTAAAACCTGTTATGTATATTACAAACATCTCATTTCATTTAATGGTTTATTTGAACCGGGACCATGCACATTAATGAACATTTTAAACAAAATAATGCTTTGAAATGTAAATGAGCCGGATTTTAGCTTTGAGCTAATTTCCATCCGTAGTCCCGTCACATACATGTATGAACATAACATTTATATACATGGCAAACAGAAATACATGATATGATCAATAGGGATTTTCCTTAAAATGATTGTTCAAACCCATTTAGTGTATTTAAACATGTTTTCAGAAGAAGCTTAGCTAGTCTTGTGATGGGTGAAAACAAGGGATGAGCAATTCAAAGCTTGATGCTATTTTTGCTGAAGAGAAATGGCAAACGATTTCCCTCGGTTTGGCTTAGCTCTAATTGTGAAAGCAATTTTGGGATGAATCCATTTACCTCTGGTACATTTAACAAGTTTCTAGGGCAGCCATGTGGCATGCGCTGATTTCTAACTGTTTAATCTTTAATTATTTAGATATCTGGTTATTTTTAAAGATATTGCAGATCTGTATAATCCTCTTGCAGCAGGAATAAGCATTTAAGATATGCTGACTTCTCTATCTGAATTCAGTTGTCGAGGTTGTTGTGTGTGGGTTCACCTGCAGGTGGGTGAGGTGTGGTGCTCCTCTGCTCTCCCTCCTCTTGGCTGTGACCCAGCAGACAGTTGTGCCTGGGCCCAGGTTAATGAGTGGATTTGCTGCACTGCAGCGCACGTTCCCCCCATGCTGATATGGAGCAGCTGAGCACCACAGTGGCCCCACACTGCTGCAGAGCTATAAATCAGCCACAGTCAGGCCAGGCCCGAACGGAACGGCCACCGCTGGGGATGGACAGGCGCACCGGGAGGGAGGCAGGGGAAGAAATTGCGGGAGGAAGCGTTGAAGAGGGGGGAATGAAAGCGTGAGCCCAGTGCCATGTGCTCACCTATGTCTACATAAGATCCCCTACCATGTTCCCCCACACAGCTCTCTCTCTTCCACCAATGCCAACGTAACCACTCTTCACAACATCCTCTCAACTCCCGGCCCCTCCCCAGCTGCTCTCTCTAATTGCCTTTATTAACGTCTCTATGGGAGCGGCAGCTAGGAGCAATTTGCTCATTATGTACTGTATTAACACTGGCCTTGGGGCAGGCATGGAACACAGAGGGAAGCCTGGCTTGGACTCCTGCTCTCTCTGCTGCACTCTGCCTTTATCAGGACCCCTACCTCCATCCTGTAGGGGGTCTAATTCTAACTCATTGGCCCCGACAGCAGCTAGAGAGAAGCACAGCTACAACTGTAACAGATTAAGCTTTAAAAGTTTAAACTTTCAATGTCCATGTTGTTTTCACATTATGACTAAAAGCTCATAAACACACTGAAGTCGGAAGAACAACAACGCTATGAGCGCATGAATGCACCATTGGCTTTGGCAGAGGTCTGAGCTCTCCGATTCTAGTTTTTAATGTACTCTATTTCAAGTGATCAAAAGTGTAATTTTCGAATCAATGGCTTTAGGTTCAAGGTTCAAGGTTCTTTATTGTCAATCTGACATAGCTACAGAGTAATTATGCAGTTGAAAATCTTATGTCACAGGCTTCTCCAACAATGCAACATAATAACATAACATAATAACAATAAGAGCATGAGCAATACAAAAATAATAATAGTTATAAAAATGAAATAAAGTTATGATGTGGAATAGTGCAGTATGAGTCTATATACAAGTTATTGGAATGATATATATATATTAGGTATTAGATACATACTACTGAGTAGCAGTTGAATGTTTGAATGTTTGAATTGTGGATGTCACCCTAGTTGTGGTTGCACAAAGGTTTGAATTACTTTAATACTTACAGTAAAGCAAAAAACTGGCCCGTAAATATAATATTCCAAAAATAATCTACACATGATTAATTCATGACTGTTTGCATCTCTTATCCTGAATCCACTCCCTATTCGTGCTCAATCCAGACATTTTAGTGAGTGAGTGAGAATGTGTTATCTGTCTGGCCTGTGGACTCTAGATGAGTTTGCGGTTGGACAAGTTAATCTACAACTACTGTATGTTAGAAGTTGGCTTAAGATGTGGAGCACAATACATTTCAAAGCTATGGTACAGACGGTCAAATACATGTCTTTGTTTGAGTTTAAATGGCAGACCTTCAGAGAAACATATCAAAGACTCTCTTCATGTTTTCCTCCCAGGTTAATGTCAAGAGCCAGTCCTCCTGAAGAGGCTAGCAGATAGAGGGAAATGGATTATTTGATTTATGGAAGCCTGTTGTCCTTGTTATGGTGATGCATGTACAGCCTGCACGCAATAAGCATTCAGTGCGACAGCCCCTGTAGCTGCTGTACAGTGGAATGAAATGTGTGGGAATATTTAAGTGATCTGTTCTGTTTACCTAAATAGATCCCAAAAGACGTGTTGACCCAAGGGTGCAATGATTTATTCTATCTTGAATTATGATTGTGAACTTATTTGACTTTGCCTATCCCTTCATGACACAGAAGTGACATAACATCTCAAGGCAGCATGGCGAAAACGTTGGTGGTTGATGGTGACGAAGCTGCACCCTATCCCTACTCCATGGGTGTAGAAATGTATTTTCACCTTGTTCCCATATAACAGGTGCCTCAGTGTAGCTCACCTTTTGCTTTGATGCCACCCCTTACCGTAGTTGCTACCACAATTGAATAACTTAACAATGTATGAGAACACATTATGATTGTCTTGGCGAATTTCTCACCTTCACTTTGTTGAAAAGTCAACACGTTCAATTTTTTCTTTTTAACATGAGGCCACATTCTCACTGTCTTCCCAAGTGAGAGATCTAAGGTTTATTGTCATATGCACAATAGCTCAATAAATTAATATCTTAGGTCCCATGCTCCAACAGTGCATCATACTATACTTGGGATATGCAAAGGAATAAAGAAATAAAATAGGGCAAGAGACATACAAGTGAAATGGAAGAATAAGGAAGTATACATATGTAACATAAAACTGAATTTAAAATAAATACTATATACAGTAGAATAAATAATGGTTGCTGTAATAATATATACATATGTGGATATTCTTAGAATCAGAATACTTTATTTATCCTTGGGTGAAATGAGGGTTTGTATCAGTTGCTCCATTTTATAATCAAATAAGATAAATAGATATGTATCAGAGTGAGAATAAGAAATCCTTTATTAGTCCCGCAGCAGGGACATACATCGGTACATTAAAGTGACATACTGTAGCAGGTAAAGAAAGGCAAACTATAATAAGAGTAAGCACACGTAAGCACACGTATTAAATATGGAGACAAGAATATGAAGACCGGCACACGTTAGTAATACAATACAAATCAATTAAGGTGTTGAGTTATTATACAAATGTATGATTTGCACATAAAATAGATTTTTGCACAGTAGAACTTCAATCATATTATTTAATCATAAAAGGTAAAAGCAGACGTGCGGATTTAACATATAAAAACAATAAATGTGTTCAAATGTGTATCTTCAGAAATGTGTACAGTGGTGTATTATCAATGAAGAAGGTAATGAATGGAACAGTTGAACTAATGGAATAAGTTATACAGCCTTTTGTCCGTATTCAATAGACAGTCCCCTACGCCACAGTCTCTTTTCAGACATCACCGTAGTGTGTTTAAAAGGTGTGTGTTTTCTCTTCAGGGAACCCATAGCAGGATCTTCGCTGTCCGCAGCCCCAGAGAGCCAACCTGCCTCCACCACAGCTGAGAAAGCAAAGCCAGAAGAGAGGTAAGACCCCTCTTTATATTTACCTTTTTCCTCCCAACTGTATTTAATCATTGCAGTTGACTTCTTTTCAGTCTTTATCTCTTTCGTTTAGTCATTTCCACACTCTGGCTAAATGTCACACTCTGGGATTCTTTCACTCTCTAAGTTTTCACTCACTTGCTCCATTACTCGTTTCCTCTCCTTATCTTGCATGTTCACTCAACAGAATAACCTTCTTCCTCGCTCGTCTAACATCTACTCGAAGATTTGCACATCAATATTTTCCCTGACTTTTTCATGTATTTACTAGCTGTACATTTGGCTTGCTTTGAGGAATCTTAATGTATGAAGTATTGGCTCTAGCTGGGGCAGCAGCAGCAGCCTGTTCTCCTTTCAGTCAAACCCCAGATACACACAGAGGTATTTAACCGGATGGGACTGTGCACACTGTCCGCCCATTACACTGATCTATTGCTCCGCTTCCTTCAGACCTAATGATGAATTCATGTTTAAACGTTATCGAGTACAATTGTAAACAGCTCGGTCTTTCTTTGGCCAATCCATTAATGTTATTTCCTTATAGAAATACAAATCCTCATTTCTTCCAAATGTGTTTCCGCCAGAGAGCATTCTTCCAATTCTCAATTCAAGAACTCGGCTGAACATTGTTGTATTGACAACTTTGTGACCACAAACTTTTTTTTCAATTTGAATATCTTCTTTTTACTCTCTCATCCTACATTGTCGCTGCTCGGCAGAGAGAGAATATGAAATATTTATCAGGGCATCGTGAATTGAAGGCACAATTTTGACATGGTAATGTTTCTGGCATTCGAGATAACAGTTTGCGGTGGTGGGCAAAACAACCTTTTTGTGGCAATGTTTTTTTTCTTTATGTTTTCTGGAGCGCAATTGCATAAATACGCCTTTTTACTAACGTTTTCAGAGAGCGGTGAATATGGCCTCTTTTGACGGCGCTCTTTTACATCAAACTGATTTAAAATGCAGCTTCTGAGCCCACAAATGTGAGTTAAAAAGCTGAAGCAGCGTGGAGAGAGATTTCTATTCTACCTCTGCGTGTGTGCAAAGCTTCTTTAGAATCCCCCCGCCACTTTTTAATTATCTCACCATAGATGGTTGTCTGCTGTGCGGACCTGATGTGTGGCTGCCTTTCTGGCTCTCCAAAACCTGTTACAGACAGCGCTGAGCTCAGTGTGTGAGTGAGTGTGTGTGTGTGTGCACGCAAACAGGTGTGCGTGGGTCTGTTTTGACTCACTCACTGCTCTGTCTAGACTGGAGATAGGGCAAGACAAGAGTGTGTAGCGGCCGGCTCCTCTCTTTGAGTTTTTTGCTTATATTCCAGCCTGGCCCGTTTCTGCTGTTTCAGGCTAGTGAGTGAAGGAGAAGCAGGCCCCGGGCCCAGATTGAACCGTGCGGTAATCCTCCCCAAAGCTCCGCCAGCTCACTGATTGCCTTCATTTTTCAGTGTCACCAGCAGGAAAGCCAAGGCAGTGTTCCCATGTGAGGCTGAGCACGACTCTGAGCTCTCCTTCCAGGTCGGCGCAATATTCAACGCCGGTAAGTGTTATCGCCTACACCAGTCGCTCACTCAGAACCAGGCCCGGCATATTGGATTTGGAGGAAAAACCGAACACCACAATCTGATCTTCAATCGAACAGAGAGATGAGACGAGGAGAGGGAGAGCAGGGGGGGGGGGCAGGAGACACAGATTTGCTCTTCAGTGTGTCTGGAAGAGGCTCCACTGGGCTTTAATCACTCGCAGAGGAAATGAGGATTTTGTAGTTCCAATTTTTTGGAGACACAGTCAATATGGATATGGTGTATGCTTTACTCGGAAATGTGGTGATTGATAAGGTCCCAAAATGCAATGCAGTCCTGGTGTTTTTTTCTTTTCTTTCTGCTTTAAAGGTTCCATCAGATCCGTTTTGGACATTTTTAGCATCCGCTGTCCTGAAATATAAGTAGCGCATCTCCCATCAAAATTATAATAGTATAAAGTTATGACTATGATGTCAAAATCTGACAGCAGCCATTAATAAATATGGATTAGACGACTAAAGCCCTCCATCAATCATATCATTATCTACTGTACGTACAGTATTTCCTGTTGTGAGTCGTGCACTTTAAACCCATCAATGCTTCATGTTGGTGGAAGGAGTTCAGGTCAGGATAAAGGCCTATGATTGCAACATGTGTGTTATTAGAAAGTGGATTTCTAAATCATAAATAAGAACACATGTTATCTGAAAAATAATAATAATAACACAAAATGAATAAAGAATCACATTTAACATGTTTTTCATTAGTTTAAATTCTAGAGGACATTATCTTATTTTGTAGCTGAGATGATTTGGTTAGTGAAAGTATTGCTGAATGATTTATGTTTGTTTTGTATCTCGTCTTCGAGTTAGCTCCAAACAGAGTTCTGTTCATACTCTGCCGTCAGCAGGCTTCACAGGAAGTGACAGACATGTGACATTAATGCGACATTATGAGGCTCCTTAGCTCTACATCTGCAGTATGTTGAAGACCCTTGACATTTTGCCCGTCTATTCAGTTTATTATGTGTGTGTACTTATGGGTTGTTTTTGCCTGAGATATATGTGCATAACAAATGTGCAAAGGGTCAGGAGGTCTGAATACTTGAGCCAGCCACTGTACATATAGTTTGTCTACAGAAAAAAAAATCAACATATGTTGTTTTCTCACCCTTCAACTGAAAGGAGAACATTGCCCTACTTATTTATTTTCTTTAAGGCACAAACTGTAATGACTGTTGGTTAGGCTTGGTTCAGTTTAATGGTGTCATATAACTATACCCAGTCATGTATAAACCAACCACACCGTACACAAAGAAAAACAGGTGAGAGTTAATGCTGAGCTTTTAAGTTGTGTGCTTATTGGAAAAAGCACACTGATACACTGTTTATTCTTACATCTAGCATCTGGTTTATTATGTATTGACTAATGAATAATAAAAACACATTTGGCAAAGAATATCCTAAAGATAGCAGCAAGATAATCCCCTCGCAGTTTGTTATTGTACTCAGATAGGGGAGGGGGTCTTTGTTTTTCTGTTGTTCCTCATTTTAATGGGGACAAGCTGATATAAAACCACCTTTAACAACGGCGGAAAACATTAATAATTCAGAATGAGTTTTCTTCCTGTTGTAGCCCTTGCATTTGAAGACAGACCTGTCAGTCAATTTGGGAGTAAAAGCAGGTTCAAAGTGTTTGGTTGGTTTTGAATTTTGGTGGCGGGTCAACTCTTTTCATTACACCTGTATGAAAATTGTGCTTTTTTACATTTTCTTGTTCATTCTGTTCCGAAAACACACAAAAGCCCTGTCGATAAACACATGTCTTTGTGTCGTGAGGCTGACTGAGACATGTTACAAGAAGTATTGATTTAGTTTATGTCTCGATTTTCCTTGGAAGTTCTCACTAACTACAAATGCTCTCACGATTTTGAATTGACTCACTTTGGAGACATTTTCAGGAAACATGGCACTGAAATTATCTTTTCTCCGACACACCGTCATACTAAGTAGCTTTGTCTTGCATCTGAGGTTAGACTGAATTTTAGAATGAAATTGGATCTTTAAACAAAGCTGAAATGTACAATAGACGTCTCAGTGGAGTTTAGTGTAACCGCATAATCACCGCATCCTCTTCATACCTGTGCTCTCTCTGCTCTGACTCACGCTGTATACTCACCCGAGGCACCGTGTCCTCTGCTCTGTCCCCCCCCCCTCCTCCCCTCCCCTCTGCTGTTGCCCCCCCCCCCCCTGGTGACGCTGTGTCCTCTCCCGCAGTGTTCAAGTCGCGAGAGCCGGGCTGGCTGGAGGGCGAGCTGGAGGGAAAGAGGGGCCTCATCCCTGAAAACTACGTGGAGTTCATGTAGCGGCAATCACAAATATTTATGGACAAATTATTATCACCTCCACCGGGAAAGATATGCTGAGATACAGGTGCTTCAACTCTGACATTCACCATAGAGCCTTCTTTATCCAATTCCCTGAATTATCTCAAGTAAGTGATGTTATTACAGGTGGACCATTCTTCATAGTTTCTCTGTTTGAATTTACTTTGGTCGAGTATCCGCATGGATTTCAGCATTGCACTTACAATATCCTGCCTTATACAAAGATGCTGGAGCCTCTCAAAATCCAGGTCGCTTTGTAGCAGCCGAGAAAGAGGCCTCGCACTCGACCCGAGTTATACATGGTATCCATGAGCTCCCAAGTCAAAGAACGATCCAGAAACTGTAAGGAAGAATGTCGGCACTCACTGTAACCTGTTTTTGTAAAGGCATTTTTTGCAGCTTTAGAAACTCTCGACAATGATGCAAAGTTTGTTTTCAGCTTTTAAGAGATTAGAGATACTGTTCCTGCCGTGCCTTACCGTCAGAACACCCAGTGTAAATGTATGTCCCGGTGTGTATGAGCATTTATTGGAGTGTTACTGCTTTCACTTTGAAATTGTTGTGTTTTCTGTCTTCTTAAGATGTTCAAAATGAGGCACATTGCTATAGTAATTGTATTTAATTTAATTGGCACATTGATTGCATGACTTTTGAATTTATAAACACACTCTACTGTTTTGTTCTTGGCGCACTCCCTTACAGAAACACACTGATGACTGAAAAGCCTCGTGTTTTAACACTAGGTACATTTAAGTTGGCAGTCATGATTGAAACCAAGTGTTTTGTATCTGTTTAGTTTATTTTTAAAGCTTATTTTAACGTTGCTCAGTTTCCTTTTGAGCAGATAAATGAGACACTCCCACAAAGTTAACATTTTGGTTTAACTATTTTATCTTCAATGTCAATAATAAAAATCAACATTTTATTATCAGTTAGACCAAAGAATGCAGTATTTTACATCCGTTCAGTGTATATAGCCTAAGTATAAAAATACATATGACTGCCAAGTATGTTTTACAAGTGTCTGTTAGGTGATGGACAGTTTTTCTTATGGATTGGTTTTAGCATGAACACGTCTGATTACAATTCATCCCTCAGCTGTTAAACAAGACACTTTAATTTTTCTGAGAGCTTTGGTTCAAGTAATTTAAAACATTGATTTATGACGTTTGTAAAAGGCCTTCTTTCATTTTTATACCTTTGGGTATCCTGTTGATCAATGTTAAACAAATAAAGATTGTTTTTGTTCTTTACTGTATGTGATGAATGTTTATTTTGAAACTGCATTTTTGTCAACATTTTAATTTAACAATCTTATCTCAGGCAGTGATTTCATTCACAGAAGTTTCAGCAACATTATTGAACTAGATTTGTTTTCTAACAAAAGTTAAAAATATAAAGTATGTGGACAAGAATAAGGTCATAAAAGTTTCTAAACTAGGAGATATAATAAGTGTTAACTTTTTATATGGGGAATATGGCCAATGTGAAATCTAACACTATTTTTCATTTGGTGATGACTCATGTATTTCGTCTCTGAGAAGTCCCACAGTTAAAAAAACTAAGAATACCTTTCACTGCAGCCAGTGCTTTCACGGTAAGCCATGCAGTGCAAAGTTATCCTGCCTCTTTATATTGACCTGCGCTGGTCAATCTTACCTATACTCTAACACAACTTCCCAAAAAGGAATCAAAATTAGATTGTTACCTTGACTAGAGAAACTCAGACTAATCCACCGTCCTGACCCATTAACATCTCAGCCTCATGTTAATTCTTAGACTACATCACTGTAACTAATTAACACACAAAGAGCCTCCAGACTTGCTGCTTTAGCCTCAGTTACATAATTACTACGTCCATCAGCACACTTAGACCTCCAGTAGGTCTGTTGCTGCGCTGTTTAGAAGTATAAACACATGAGTTGAAGATAGTAAAGGTTGGAGTTGTGATGTCAGTGTAACATGTGACCACATCACCCTGAAGCAACTGCAGACGCCAGGATTACATAATGAAATGAGGCAGAGCTAATGAGATGGGCAAGAATATTCCCCCACTATCCATCCCTCAGGCCCTTCATCATCAGCTTCCCTCTGCCAGAATACTGCTGAATCATAGAGACATCCGCCCCGCCTGCCTCTCACTCTGCTTTGGACTGTCTGTCAGAGAGCAGCCATGTTGCTCTGCTTCCTCTGCCTCACCTGTCCGTGTCTCAGGAGGGTTTTAACTATTTCTATCTTATTCTTGGCTTCCTTCTTTCTCCTATTGCTTTCCTACTCCTCAGTTAAGCAAAGGACATCATTGGTAATTTGGTGGTCTGCCAGTGAGCTGCCTAAATATCACTTGAGTTTGAGGTTGTGTTAACTGTGTCTGTGAGTCAAAACTGCTCCACCAAATGAAAATCTGCCCAATGATTGAAGACAAACCCTTTTAGACACTATGAATCTAGCTACCAGCAAAACAAATTGAGGATGGCCAACAACATTGTCTCGAACCCCCCCAAAGTCCTGAACAGAAAATATAAATACATATGAATAAACATAAAATACAGAGTTTAAACCAATGTAATTGTACATTAAAGTGGACCTATCATCATATATTTGAAACATATTTTAGGGCCATACCTATACAAAACATGTCTGTGAAGTTATTTTTTCAAAATACCAAACAGATCACCCATTGTAGCCATCCCTCATACTGCTCAAACCCCTCTTTTGAAGCCCTGTTAGAGAAACGCGGATCTTGGGTCCTTAGCTTGAAAAAAAGAAAAGAAGAGGAGGCGGAGCTAATGCCTGATCAGAATTCTACCGGAGATAAAGTTAAATTCTGCTGTGATAAAACGCCATCCTGTTTAAACCGCGTCAAGGATTATTTCTGAAATAGTATGGAGCTCAAATGCTTTTTCTCTTGCAGGTTCATCACAAGGTGAGTTCTTTTTTTATTTCCTGCTTTTTAAACACGTGTGCTCTACACAGTACAGGTTAGCTCTGAGTGTTAGCGAGGCTTGCTAATGTAAACAAAGACGAGATTACGTCCAAAACACGTCAGGCATTGTTTCTGATAGCAACTTTCTGTGGGTCCGCTGCCGATTTGACGTCAGTTCGGATGGAATCTGTATCCGCTCGTTGTACATCCGTTTTTAAAAGATTTGGGTACGGAGGAAAAGAGAGAGGGTTTTATTTTCTGACGCACCGGGGACACATGTATAAAAGACATCACAAAGTGCATTTTGCATGATAGGTCCCCTTTAAACATAATGTGCAATAAAGTGTCATATATAATATTGTCATCAGTTATTTTAATATGTTGTTAAATGTCCGCGTCCTGTGTCTTGTATTAATGGGGCAGTTTTTGTGCATGTAAATGGTCTTATGCATAAGCATCTGTCAGTCTGGGATTGCATGCATACTTGGGCCAAACCGTATCGATTTAGACCAAATGTAATGTAAGAGCGTTTGAGTAAAACTCCAGATGGATGTTTTATTTCTTATTTCCTGGCTGAGTCCTGGCTGTGTGCCAGCTGTCCTCTGCCTCCCATGACGCAGTGTCCTTCAGCCTTAAAATGTAGTCCAACGCCGTGACTCAGCTGAGATCCAAGCCTACAGCAGTTTAGCTCCAACGATGAGCAAATGACACAACTAAGTGCCACAATTGTGTCTGAATTTCCCAAAAGTGCCCGTCTAGAAGCTCTAACTCAATACATTCCTGCGTCTTCATCTGGTTCCCTTAGAGTGCTCAGCCTCTGAAATATAAACACAGTAAGATTTGATATATTATTGGGGGTGAAAACTGAGAGGGAATTTGGAGAAAAGTGAATTTCAAACATAAATGAGAGTGTGGAGGGAATAAAAATCCCCCTTTAGCTCAGAGTGGGCTACAGAAGCTGCCATGTGCGCGGGCGCAGCCGTGAAATCAGCCTGATCCAATAGATTCTGTTTATCTGGCACGACTACAACTGAAAGCAATTGGAAATCTGGGGGAGATTTGGAGAAGGCTGTGGATTCGGATAGCGAGAGAGGAAAAAAATGAGCAAAAAAGTAATACTGTCTGCTCTACAGTCTGGCAAAGCAGGCGTGTTTTCAGATCAGTCTTTAACAAGGTTAATGGTGATTTTTCTCCAAAGGCACCGTTTTACTGTAAAAGCCTCATCCTCGCATGCTTTATCTCTGTCATTTTTACTCTCTTCTCTTTCCGTTTCTCTTTGTTCTCTTCATCTTCTCTCCCTGTGACTGCTGCTCCACATCATCTCTATTTTTCTATGCTAACTGTGCTTTTTTGGCTCATTATCCTTCCCCAGACACTAAATGCAGCTGTTTCAAATTCACGCAGATCAAACAAACAATTTTTTAGGCCACCTTTTCGTAACTTCTGTCTCAGAACAATTTTCACCAAACACAAATACATACAACCAACAAATTACATCACATCAAATAATCAATTTTACAGTTTTATTAGAATCTTGCAATAGTTTTGCAAACACATTATGGCAATATCTGCATCAAGATATACAGTTGTAACTGGTTTTATTGGTTTATGGTGAAAGATGTCTACCGTATGTTTGATGGATAGTTATTGAGAGAAATATTGTACAAAGCATCTGAGTAAAAAGTAATTTTTGGAATTGAAAAAAAGCATTTGTATATATGTTCATATTAATAAGAAATGCACTGCCATGGCTGTGGAGATATGGCTTAGTCTCTCTTCCCCCGATCATCGCCATGAACAGAAAATGGCAAAGATGTCACACAGTGACGCGATGGAGACCTGTGTGACAGCTGAACACGTCCTGACTCATTCATCATGCGAAGTCCATTTAGATGAAGACAGCTTTGAAAATGACGTTGCTCATTACCATATATCATTGCAGTAGGTGTGCATTGATAGCCAGTAAATAAATAGTTCAATCGTTTTTGTTCCTTTATAGGTTTAGTTTGACAATTTGCTTTGTTGCAGAGGAACAGATAAGGAGATTTATACCACATCGATTCATAATAAATCTAAAGCTACAGCCAAGAGACGTTAGCTTAGCTACAGCCAGGAGACGTTAGCTTAGCTACAGCCAGGAGACGTTAGCTTAGCTTACACGAGTCAAGAAGAAGTTATCTCAGGACACTTTCCAAAAGCAGGTCTACGCTTTTTGATTTACAGAGACATAACATATCATTCCTCCATTAGCAACATCGAGCAGAGCCGGGCCCAGTGTGGATGCCAATCTGCCCTTTTTACTGTATAGCTTAGCATAAAACTAGAAAAAGGGTATAGCCTGACTCTGTCTACAGGAAACAAAATCTGCTAACCAGCAGCTCTAAAGCTCAATAATTAACATGTTATCTGTCTGTTTAACTCTTTAAAACAAAGAAGTAAATGTGATTAAAGTTTTTGTTTTACTGGGGGATGATATTTTGGACTATTTCTTAGCCAAGTGCAACGGCTTCCTAACAATCCGGCCAAAACCCCCATAAAGCTACAACTTAACTTTTTTTTAACTCTTACTGATTTGTCAGAGAAACAATGGTAAGTGTACTTTAATTTTGTATCCGTTAGACAGTGCCAGCCAAGCTGTTTCCTGCTGCCTCCAGTCTTTATGCTAAACTAAGCAAACATTGTCCTGGCTGTAGCTTCATATTTACTGAACAGACATGAAAATGCCAGCAATTTTCTCATTTAACTCAGCAAGAAAGGGAATACATGTATTTTCCAAAATGTAAAACTATTATTTAAAAAAGAAAGAAAAATAGCAAAAATTCTGAGCATATATATTTGAAGTGCATGGGATGAGAATATTATTGGTGATATTGTTGTATAATCAGGAATCTAATGTGTAAAGATTTGACGTTTTTTCACGTTAACTTTCTTTTGGTTTTATTTTATGATTGAAAATTATTTTTGGCGGTTAGTGCAAAAGGTCCAGTTTATAAACTGGTCAAAAACTGTCATTTTTAAACTGGATAAACTTGGTCTACAGTTTCTACATTGATTACTTTATTTCATTTCATGTGTGCATTAAGTTTTGCTTTTATTTTAAACTGAAAAGTAAAGAACTCTCTTTCACATTTTCCAGTTTGAATAGTTTGTGATTTCTTGATTTTATTGTGGTGCTCATCAACAATACCACCACGGGTTAGGAAATAATTTCAACAGCAACAACTCAAGGATCCATCACTTGGCACATCTTGTTACAAAAAAAAGAAATACTTTTTGATTATTATTATTTTTTGTTTGAGTCACTTGAACAATGATGCAAAAAGTAAAAAAAAAAA